ATATATATATATATATATACATACATATATATACACACACACACAGTATATATTCCCAGCAGGTAGAGGTGTGAGCTTTTTTTCTAATGTTTAGCTGTCAATTTATAACTAATCCATTTAAAATAATCCAGAGCCCAACGCTGAACTCCAGGCTTACCTTCCATCTTGCATAGTTGTACAAGCTTCTCTCCTCTACTGAAATTGCTTACTTTGAGAACATTGTAACTTTTTCTGTGCATTAGAAGCTGCAGCAAGTCGTATACAACCTGCCTGGAAGACAGCCAACATCATCTATCTCTTTCTTCCCCAGCCTTATTATCCCTGGCCCAACCCTTTTATTCATTGAACATCAACACATTCAATCATGAAAGCATTACATGTGAGCTTTACCACATCTTCCTATTTTCATAATGCTCTATGCAGCACCCTGCTGGCCCCTTCCACTAGCCTTCATCTGACAGTTTCAATGTTCTGTTGGAGATATTTACCCTCATTTCCGGTCCTGTCAACGGTGGTTTCAGCATACAGGAAGTGAAGGAAAATCTGCAACAGGGACACAGTCAGCAGTGCAAATTGTTCTAGCCTTCCCTCAGGCTTTTTTTACTTTCTGTCTGTGTTGCTGTTGCTGAGTTCCTCTTAGGCTGGCCATACATTATACAATTTTCTTGAAATTTTTGGTTTAGATTTACCAAAAACTATATAATAGGAGGTCAAACCTAACAACATTGTATCCAATTAGGCAGGCTCTTGCACTACATAGTTGAAGGTAACTCTATAGGAAATTGGGCAGAAATTGGACAGAATATATAGTGTATGGCCAGCCTTACTTTATGTCCAGTAAAATGTCATCAGGACAGGAAGTGATTGTAAATCTCTCTAATGGAGCACCAGAGAGACATAAAACCTGACAGGGGTTCTAACCCTCCCCCACTCTATCCAATACTAGAAAAAAATTTGCTGTTTTTTTTTTGTTTTTTTACTTGACTGCTCACATAGTACTGTATGTAGTTTCAATAAACAATATACAGCCTAAAAGCAAACATCTTCTACTTTGTTTTCTCTTCAGAAAAATGCTAATGCTCTGTGATACAGTTCTAGGTGCAACCTTTTCAAATGTTTAAGACTCTCCTATTAACTTCTTCACGCCAGCCAAATGCAAATGTATGGCCTCCCGGTGTCTGGTACTCACAGAAAGGATCTCCTCTTTCAATCGAGACCTTTCCTGATCATGTGACTGCCGTGACGGCGTGTCACGGCGGTCACATGACCCTAAACCCCGCCCCGCCTCCTGGCTTCTGAAACCCTTAAAGGGCCGGGAGGCGCCAAGGGGTTAATCAGTGTGGTTATTCAGTCATTTCAGTTTAGACTAACCCACACTTTGTGTTGCTTTAACTGAAAGCCAGTAAATTATATTTAGTTGTTTGAATGCTTTAGGAATATGATTCCTCTTTTCACCATCAATGGACAATGAAGAGATTGGGAAAAAAAGTGAATGCAGGCTGAAAACCAGCCTGTGAGTTGCTTATTCTTTGCAAAGTGCAGAAACTGTATAGCTTTCTATTTATTAGTTTTTTATTTAACCACATTGCCCTCCAAAGGATTTACCCTCCTTCCTGACCAGGCCATTTTTGTGCTGCATTACTTTAACTGACAATTGCGCAGTTATGCAATGCTGCATGCAAATTAAATTTATGTCATTTTTTTCCCCACAAATTGTGCTTTCTTTTGGTGGTATTTGATCGCCTCTGCGTTTTTTATTTTTTTGCACTATAAATAAAAAAAAATTACAATTTTTAAAAAAAAACAATATTTTTGACTTTTTGCTATAAAACATAACCAGTAAAAGAATTAAAAAAATCAAATTTCATCATAAATTTAGGCCAAACTGTATTCTGGTACGTCTTTGCTAAAAAAAAATCCCAATACGTGTAAATTAATTGGTTTACGTGAAAGTTATAGCGTCTTTCAAATGGTGGTATATACGAGGGGCGACTGAAAAGTTCTCAACCTACCCATGAAGCATTTGCCTTAGCCCAATTGTATTTTTGCTACTCATAGTACAAATCTTTGCAAGGTTCCATACCAAATTTCTCACAAATAGCTTTTTCTTTGTTTCAGTTATTGAAGACTGAAGCGAAGAAGGTCATCATTGTCTGAAGATGGAGAAAGTGAGCAAACGTGCTGTTATCCAATACCTGCTGTCTGTCACGTTTGTTTTCAAGTCAACATTCTCGGGACCCACCGACTTGACACCTTGTGCATGTGCAGCACTACTGTTAAAATGTGTCCAACATGTTCCTGGGATATGTCCACTTTCTCTGCGATGAAACATTCTGTCACTTACCTGTCTGCCATTACAAGATCCTGGATTGCTGTGATGTTTTCCTCCGTACAGGCAGTTGCTGGCCTTCCAATGCGAAAGGCATCTTGGACAGAGGGGTTCCCCCTCTTGAATTCCGCCACCCACTTTTTAATGGTGGAAGAAGAAGGGGCATCCTCCCCTAATGTTTCCATCATGTCCTTGTGGATGTCCTGTCCACTCATTCCCTTTTTCAGCAGGTATTGGATAACAGCACGTTTGCTCACTTTCTGTCAGGGCAGGAGCTGGGAAACGGACAGGCAGGCCTAATATCAATGTAACGCACAGGCTGACGACAACCACCACCCACAGACCGAAGTCCCTCAGGGTGCGGAGTCTAAGTCCCAGGCTGCCCTTCACCAGGGCCCCTGATGGTGGGGATGGACTTGACGCAGCCAGGAACCAGGTCGCGACCCCAGCTACGGTAATGGCCGCCGCCAATGGCGTGTAGCTAGTGGTAAAGACAATAGAGTAGTCAGACAGGCCAGGTCAACAACAAAGAGACAAAATGGTACAGGACAGCAGACAAGAATCACAGGTTACGAGCCGGGTTCAGCAACGGAGGGTCAGATCAAAGGAGAACACAAAGAATGGTCAGGTCACAAGCCGAGTCAGATTCCAGGAGAGTCACGAGAGTCAGAACAGAGTAACAGCAACACCAAGACACAAGTGCAAAGAGCATGTGCGGAACACAGGCTTATATGTCATCAACCACACCCCTCTGAGGGGTGGACCTCAGAGACCTGAAGGCATAAAAGATTCCCACCATGCTCTGCAGAAATCCAAGATGGATGCCAGCACATGGAGTAACATAACCTCTGGTAAAAAGGTAGGACCTTGACACTTTCTCCATCTTTCAGACAATGATGACCTTCTGCGCTTCAGTCTTCAATAATTGAAACAAAAAAAAAAGCTATTTGTAAAAAATTTGGTATGGAACCTTGCAAAGATGTGTACTATGAGTAGCAAAAATAAAACTGGACTAAGACAAATGCTTCATGGGTAGGCTGAGAACTTTTCAGTCGCCCCTCGTGTACTGGAATTTTGCTTTTCTTTAAACTAGTAATGGTGGTGATCAGCGACTTATAGCAGGACTGGGGGGGAACTGACTAACTGTCACTGACATCACCACTGTCACTAATACAGTGATCAGTGCTAAAAATAAGCACTGACACTGTACTAATGGCACTGGGCAGGAAGGGGTTAACATCTGGGGCAATCAAAGGGTTAACTGTGTGCTGTTTTTTACTAGGAAGGAATGCTGTTTTGTATTGCTCTGCTATGCAAAGCAAATGGAGCAGTGATACTTGTCGATCGCTGGGTGTCGGTGGGGAATCTCCGGCCGGGACCTGGTAATCGACAGCTGTGGCCGCCACCCCCTACCCGGAAATACAAAATCACATATGTATACGTGATTTTGCGCAGCCCTGCCGCCCTGTAGCAGTAACACATTTACAGTATAGGCACTTAGGATTTTGTGAATAACTAACAAAATATATATTTTTAGTAAAGTGCAGAAATTGCTTTGTTTAGCCCTGCTGTAATAATTTCTTCCTCTGATAGTCTAACTGAATAGACTATGGCAACCCAGAGTAGAAAATGCTATGTCTATAGACAATGTGTGAGGTTTGGAAGAAGAGTCGTTTAAAAGTCCAAATGTTTTAGCTGTTCTTTTGAGAAATTATTTACAGAGTTTAACTGGCTTTAAATTAATGTTTAGCTCAAACAAGATTTTTACTTCTTGTAAAGTATCCAAAAAGTAACGTGAACTTTGAATAAGCTTTGGCTTTGAATGTATCTACAAAGTTTCTGCAAATAAATCATATATACTGTATACTGTTAGTGCAGTGTGTTCTCTAAAACAATATATTGCATAACTGAATGCAATAACTGTTAAAGCAGTAGTAAAGCTTTGAATTTAAAGCAGTTGTAAAGGCTCAAGGTTTTTTACATGCATTCTATACATGAAGGTAAGCAACCTTCTGTGTGCAGCATTGCAACCAGCCCCCTCAATACTTTCCTGAGCCCTATTGAGATCCAGCGATGTACACGACAGCCTCATCTGCCCTGGGTCTCTGCCTCCTCATTGGCTGAGACAGTAAGCTGGAACCATTGGCTCCCACTGCTGTCAATCACAGCCAGTCAGCCAATGATAAGAGAGAGGGGGCAGGGCCATGTGAATGGACACACGGAGCAGTGGGTGCCTCCATAGCTAGCTGCTTATTATGGAGGCACCCGACCAGGGACGGACTGAAAACTCATGGGGCCCCCGGGCAATACGTGATCATGGGGCCCCTGTGTCCTTGCCCACACTCAAAAAAAGCCTATAAAAAAGATACCAGGGGCATTTCATGGGGCCCCCTACTGATCCCGGGCCGTGCCCGAGTGCTCGAATGGTCAGTCCGCCCCTGCACCCGACAGAAAGGAGGAGCCAGGAGAACCTGCAGGGGACCCAAGAAGAGGAGGATCTAGGCTGCTCTGTGCAAAACCACTACACGGAGCAGGTAAGTATAGACATGTTTGTTATTTTACAAAGAAAAAAAATTAACCTTTAGCATCGCTTTAAAGAAAAACTTTTCCCATGAACATTAATGTCATAATATGCTAGTATACACCACATACTAACACATTGTGACAGACTTACCTTAAAACAAAGCCCTCCAGTGGCGAGCTGTCACTGCTGCCGGGGCTTCCAGCTTCCTACGGTTATCTTTCTGCATTCATGGGCTCCTGCCATTTGAATGGCTGATGACATCACTTCCATGCATGCGGAACCCACAACTGCAGCACTGCACTCTGGATGGACAGCACCTGTCTATTCAGATCACAGTGCACATGCACTGGTGAGGACACTGGCTGCTACACATGGGTATATCTCGTAAATCAGGGGTGGGCAACTGTGGCCCTCCAGCTGTTGGTGAACTATAAGTCCCATCATGCCTCTGCCTTTGGGAGTCATGCTTGTAACTGTCAGTTTTGCAATGCCTCATGGGACTTGTAATTCTATAACAGCTGGAGGGCCACAGTTGCCCACCCCTGTCCTAAATGATTAAGAGATATTCTTTGTACCTACAGGTAAGCCTTATTATAAACTTACCTATAGGTACTATTGATCAAGCAGTGTCTACTACCATTTTAAAGAGCTAATCAAATATAAACATACTAGGATTGCACCGATACCGTTTTTTTATTAGTGATTACGAGCAGGGGCAGACTTGCAACTCATGGGGCCCCATGGGGCAATAGGGGATCATGGGGCCCCTGTGTCTTTGCCCAAACTCAAAAAAACCTATGAAAAAGGTACCAAGGGCATCTCATGGTACCTTGGGCAGTGCCTGAGTTTCCAAATGGTCAGTCCGCCCCTGATTACGAGTACCAATACTTGTACTCAAGTACTCGCCAATACCAATTACCGATACCTTTGTAGTGTGATTTGAGCCCATACAAAAAATGAGTAGGCTCAAATCACACTGCAAAGAGTCGCATGCAATTTGAACAATTTGACACAAATTATTCGAATCACATGCGGTTTCCCTACTGATGCGGAGTGATCTGCAGTTCGTTTTGGGCCAGTCATTTTGTATGCCTGAAATCACACCACACCCACATGGAAACAGCTTGTGATTCAGACAGGAATGGCACTGCATTCGTGTTCAAACCACACGCGATTCTCTGCATTTTGTACGGGCTAAAATCACACCGCAAAGGTATCGGTTTTAGGTATCGGTTTCAGGTATCTGAGCATTTGCACGAGTACAAGTACTCGTGCAAATGCTCAGTATTGGCACCGATACCAGTATCGATTCAACCCCTCATGCACACTTGGTGTTTTTACAGCTGCTGTTTTTGGCTTTTGACGTTTTTTCTATAGCCATTAACCCCCCCCCCAGCATGTTATCCTATGTGTTCATGCACATAGACTGCAATCAAATTTTTTTGGCTGGAAAAAAAAATGCTCTAACACTGAAAAACGTGGTAAAACGTGGTAAAACACTTCAAACCGGCATTTTTGGACTTTTTTTAACCAAAAAAAATAATATTTTTTTAAAAAACACTAAAAACTGCAAAGCGGCAAAACACAGGAAAATGCCGCTAATCGCGGCAAACGCTGCTAAAAGCTGAAAAACTCTCATTTTTTAACATGACTTTACACGTTACCTGCATTATCAAAACGCCCAGTGTGCATGGAGCCTAATAAGTACTGTTGTAATGTGAGGAGCTGCTGAAAATGCAATCAACACTCAACAACCTTTGTACCTGGTTTCCTTGCAAAAGGAGAGCAGGTAATATTTAGTTAATTATCTGACATCCTATTCTGTGTCCTCATTCTTTCTTTTCTAGATAATGCTGATTGATAACGTGGCTTAGACAGTATACCAAAAAAAGCCAGTTCAAGCCATGGGACCAGTGCTTTTTCCAGATTTAGACCTATGTATGAGCCAGTTGTTAAAACAGTACTAAGGGGGGGGGGGGGGGGGTTTCTAAAAATCAAAATATTTTTTTACCTTAACATATTCTCTGGATTAACCTCCCTAGCGGTCTGTAATTTTTAGGAATAACTCACTGAAATCTGTCCGAACAAGAGTCTAGTAAACATCCCGGGTATGATAAAATTTTAAACACGAAATCATACATTATAATATAATAAATAATCATAAAAAAAAATAATAATAAATTTAATTCAATAATATAATCAAACCAAAAACACTGAAATTTGAAATAGAGCGCCAAGTTCGCACATCACTGAGCTCGGTCACAGAATCGTTTTCAGTGTCTGAAGACAAATTTCCCCACAAATCATTACACAGGTCTGCGACTAAAAAGCTGTTTGATTATTTTCATCTAGTTTCCATGTATTTTGGTGTGCTGAAAACAAATAAAATATTGCAAAAACTCCTAGACGTCATGATTTGCCACAAAATGCAAAATTGTCTTCAAATTTATAAAAAAAATTTAATTTTTGGTATTTTTTTTTATATTATGGGTTTTTAACCAAATTTAAAGTCCAAATTACTATTAATTAATTCACATAAGTGCATTTAAGATATAAAATGCCAAAAAAACATTAAAGTGGTTGTCCGAGTTATGTAAAAAAAAAAAATATAGCACTGTAAATCTGATGGTCAGCAATATATACATAAGCTAAGCAAGTTTTAGGGAAAAAAAAATTATATTTCCTTATTTCCCTAGTTCTCTTCTGGCCCTTTGTTGTTATTTGCAGGTAAACAATCTCTGCCTCTCCCCCCCTGCAAAGGGGGTGAATACAAGTATGTGAAAAAGGTATAGCGAGCGCTACAGACAAAAAAGCACAAGCAGCTAGAACACCAAAAAAGGCAACCAACCCACCTTACAATAATCAATGATAAAAGAAAAGTAGGTGCAGCGCTCAAATCAAAAATGCAAATAATTCTCTATAAGATAAATATGTGAATGTCAGTAGTCAAACAGATATGACACAATGGTAAACAGTGCGTTAAATGAAAATGTTGAAGCACACATAAAGTCCTCGTCCCAAATTAATGGTTGTAAAGAGGTGAAAAAAATCCTAGGAGCAGATAGAGTGCGCACTCACTAGAGGTGCGTTAAAATAACGCATGTAGAGAAATAGTTTCTGCAAGATCTCTCCAGCATCAGAGCTCTGGTCAGATCGCACTGCGTCCTATCCTCTGTCTCACCGCGAAGAGCAGTAGCCAAGTTGCATCCAACCGTGTGGGCGTCAAGGAACTCGTTAGTCCAGAGAGGCACTGTGGGAGATGGTGCTCTCAAAGAGAGCCCAATAAAGGACGCCACATAGTGTGATGCTGTTTGACTCAAGTTTAATGGTCAAAAAGGGGTGAAACAAACAAAAATACTGACCATAGAATGTTGGCCACATATAGTGGCTAGATGTCCATAAGCTGTAGCCCCCCCTGACGCGTTTCGTGCGATGCACGTCCTCAGAGGGTCAGGGCTTACAGCAGGACATCATTCCTCATCTATTTATACAGAGAAATGGCAATCGCGCTAGTCTGTTCATGGCCAGGTGGGAGGAGGATGTCATCTATGCCAGAGACTGGCCCGAACTCTCCTTTTATAGGAGATACATAGATGACATCCTCCTCATATGTAATGGCAATGAAGAATCACTTTTAAATTTTTTTACCACTTTGAATTTTAACTCTCTTAACATTAGTCTTACTTTTAATTATAGTCATGAGAGCATCAATTTTCTAGATCTAACTTTGCTAAATGTGGAAGGAAGAATTATAACTGAGTCATTCTTCAAGAAAACTGATAGAAACAGTTACATTCCCTTGGAAAGCTGCCACCATCCGGCATGGTTGCAAAATATACCAAAGGGCCAGTTTACCAGAATTAGACGCAATTGTACTGATGTCAATACATACTATAAACAGGCTGCCACCATTAAAACCAAGTTCCTTGAGAAAGGTTATGATGAAAATACTCTAACACAAACCATGACAGAAGTAGGCAACTCTAACAGAGATGTGATGTTGCAGAATAATGATAACAAGAGACCTGAGAGAGTTTGTCCTTTTGTGACAAACTATTCAACTCAATATAAATCTGTCACCAGGATAATTCGCAACAATTGGAAGATTCTGATGTCAGATCCAGTTTTAAGACGATTTTTACCAGATAAACCGCAGATCGCTTTTAGGAAAGCCACCCCGCTTGGGAATAGAATAGCCCCAAATGTTCTTGACCCCCCTGTATATACTCCTTTCTTTCCACAAATGAAAGGTTTTTATCCATGTAGAAAGTGTATGATCTGTACTAATAGTAAGTTTACAAGCAGACATACAAGTTTCAACTCTACAGCAAATGGCAAGACCTTTAAGATTGACGATTGTATTACCTGCACAAGTAAATATGTTGTTTACCTAATGCAGTGTCCCTGTCATTTACAATATATTGGACGAACAACTAGACGATTGAGGGATCGTTTAAAAGAACACGTGAACAATATCAGAAAGGGCTATAAGGATCACTCATTATCCCTGCACTATAAAACGCATCATAACCAAGATCCATCGTCATTATTATTCATGGGTATAGGAATGATAAACGCACATTGGAGAGGCCAAAATAAAAAAAGAGCTATCTCACAATTAGAGTCCAAGTGGATATATGACCTTGGATCCTTATATCCAAAAGGTCTCAATATTGAATTTGACTTGAATTGCTTTATTGATGACAGTTAATGTGCGTTTACATTACCCTGAAACTATTGATATTGTTGCCCGGATATTTTTGCCCTGTATTAATAGATGTGGTTGACAATACCTCTCTTCTTTTATCAACACTAACATCATTTGTCATTGTGAATTCTATCCTATTCTATTCTAGTTCATATATGTTTTTTAGGTATTTTTATAACATATTACTTTTATGTACTATTTTTATGTATTATTATTGGATTTTATGAGTGTTTTTTCCTGACCATATGAAATATACTATACCGTACTGACCTATTTTAAAATATATACCTAATAAAATTTATTACCGTATTTTCCGGCGTATAAGACGACATTTTAACCCCTGGAAATCGTCTACAAAGTCGGGGGTCGTCTTATACGCCGGGTGCTGTGCTGAAACCTTACCGTACTTCCGGGTTGACGCTACTGCGCATGTCTTCGGCAGCAGTAGACGATCGCGGATCACCGTAGCTCGCAGAACTGCATGAGACGTCGGATGCAGCAGTGCTCGATTGAGCTTGACTGAAACTGTGATATGCAGAGAAGGGATACACAGTGATTCTGCGCATGTCACAGTTTCAGTCACGATCAATCGAGCACTGAACGGCTGCATCCGACGTCTCATGCAGTTCTGCGAGGAATGGTGATCAGTGATCGTCTACTGCTGCCCTAGACATGTGCAGAAGTGTCAGCTCAGAAGTACCGGTATGGTACTGCTGCATCCGACCTTGTCCCCTTAACTGCTATGAGATACGGTAATTAATTATTAATATTATAATGTCTGTGGCAGTTCTGTGCAATTTATGGTATCTTGGAGACAGGCAGGGCTGGGCAGGCAGGGAGAGCT